CACATGTTTAGAGTTACAATAGCAATTAAGATTGTTGGGATTGATGTCCTCATTGTGGTCATAAGTCAAGACTACCTGTATATTTATTATGACTTAAGCTTTTGTTTACTCCTTTCAGTTTCTATAGCAGTATTGAGAGTTACCAGTACATACAACACATCCTTGTCTAGATAGATTGGGAAGAATGGGAAGAATTTTAAAATTAAGCTTTAAAATATTGATGTTAACGAGGAATTTAGTTTTTGGATAATGAAACAAGGCATTACTGCATTGATAAGCTGACATATATAGGATAATTTATATATTGAAATAGCGGGGGGGGGATTCTGATTAAGCCAGAAGGTAAGTGTTGTTCAATTTTATGCTGGTTTGCTTATTTCAAACTGAAATATGTGAGATGTGTTCTTATTTTTTCAGAGAAAGCGGCCTTTTGGAAAATTGCTAGAGGGCAGCGTTGGCTGACTGAAAAAGATAAGCACATATTATGCTGCCAAAATAGATATGAGGAGATTCGGAATCTACATTAGGCAACTAAATATTAGCAACTAAAATTGAGCGTTAAAGTGGATATTAGTTATTAGCAAGAACTTTGGAATGAAGTGTTCAAATACCCCATGTTAACAAATCAGTGGTTAATCAATAGTCCTTGGGTATATTCATTGTTATAATCCTAACATGAAATAAATTCCACAAATGACTTTTCATATTTATTGGATGTGCTAGAGAATGTTTAAAAAGGATTGGTTTTCAACTTCATTATGTGGTAAGTATAAAATGTTGGAGAGAACTTTTACAATCCTGCAATTATTTCATCTTGGTTCTACATTCATGAATTTGTTTTAGGGAGATATAATTTAAAGATGTGGCTGTAATTCTAAATAATATTCCAAAGATTTGTGTTTTATCAAAACACACAAAAACTAATGGGTTTATTGAGCATAGAGTGCAGGAAAAAAAAAACTTTTTTCAATGAGAAAGTAGTTTCACATTTAAAAAGCTTGCCTTTGTTGTATTCTTTTTGTATTCCTTTTTTTTACATGAAAGTTTAAAAAGAAGGCAGCTGACTTGGCACAGCATTTTCATTTTACCACTAACATAAATTCTACCTTGCCAATGCCTTTTTCTTCTGCTTTCATCTGATTGCTTCCTCTCAACTAAGAGAAGCGTAGCCAGTTAACATTTCCCCTTTATTTCTGCACCAAGGGCAGCTTCCAGGTGTGTCAAAACTGTTATCACCTCTGCCTTACAGGGAAGTCAGGTGGTTACTTTGACTTTCCAGAGGCAATAAAAATAGGACAGGAATTGGCTGCCTCTATAGTTTTGTACACACTCAAGGCCGGTGGAAGAGTGCTTCAACGCAGCAGTAGGGGAAAGCCCTGCCTGGCTGTCAGGACAACCAGTTATACAAAAAATAATAAAAATTAAAAAAAAGAAGGGACCACTGGATATTGGAAAACAAAAAATAATCAGAATCTAAGCTATAGAGCAGTGGTGGCGAACCTATGGCACGGGTGCCAGAGGCGGCACTCAGAGCCCTCTCTGTGGGCACGCGCGCCGTCGCCCCAGTCCTAGGGCTTCAGCTGGGTTTTATAAACCCTTTTTGCTTTAGGCCTCCGCCTCCGTGTGCAAAAAAAAAAAAAAGTTCAATCAGTCAATTTCAACTTCTTGCGGGGGGGGGGGGGGGGGGGGAAAGATCTTGCAAAGTTGGAATTGATTGAACTTTTTAGTGCCACCCAGTCTGCCGTTATTATTATTATTTATTGAATTTATATACTGCCCTATCTCCCTTACGGGACTCAGGGCAAAGGGCCACACCCAGACAATGGGCACACCCACCCGGCACTCGACGATGCATAAGTGGGTTTTCGGTTGCAGTTTGAGCACACAGTCTCTAAAAGGTTCACCATCACTACTATAGAGCCTAAGAATCCAGCCTCAACAGATTAACGCAGCAACATACACCAGCTCAAATGCAGCAGGGCTACCTCAGAAGGTTGCAACCCTGCACCCGCGTCATAGGCAGGGAGCCCCATTCGGGCGTGCAGGAATTACTTCCGAGTAAACGCCCGCGGCACAGGTCTACGGCCACGGGCTCTTTACAAAAAAGGAGGCGATGCGGAGGAGAGCTAAGCTTGAGTAAACGGAGCCAATGCAATCAGCCGCTGGGATTACACGGGGGGGTCGGAGTGCCGCTTCTCCCCTTCTGGTGCAGCAACCCCACGACCTCATCGCCATCTTGGCTAGACCCAGAGGCGGGGCGGGCTCTGTCAGCTGGACCCGCCTCTGCGGTGAGCTCACACGCAGCCGGGTTCAGAGCCCCACGCGAGGTGCTCCGGTCAAGACGACAGGTCCACGGCAGGGCCGGAGATGCCCGGTCTGCTTTTGCTCTCGGTTTTGCAGCCCCCGTAGGGCGAGGGCAGGTAATGGAGGCAGAGGCGCCCTCTCCCCGCGAACAGCTGCAGGAGGCGGGCGCGCGGGCGGGCGACCGGGGGTGGTAGTCACCGGAGGCTCCAGCTCGCCTCGCTGGGTTGGCTCACCTTGGAAACCGAGCGGCTGCTTGCTGTGCGGGGAACTGGGAATTGAGAGGGCGCGGGAGGGAAGGAATAGCCGGCTTCCAAGGCGACGCAGTGGGTGAAGGGGGGCTTCCAGCCTTCTCCCCCTGGGCCACGCTTGGGCTGCTAGCCACGGACTGGGCTTTAGCCAGAAGGAGGGCTTGTGGCATTCCTGGAGCTAACGCGCTGAGCGTGTGTGTGTGTGTGTCGGGGGGTATTTCGGAGGTTGTTGCCCTTGTAAGGAGTCTCCTCCGTGGGGCCTCTGTTGCGCCCAGTGACAGCCAGGAGCAGGGGAAGGGGGTGAATCTGCTTGGCGCTCGGTGGGAGCCTTGCACTCTCGCCCGCGCCTCTGCTGCAGGTTTAGCACCGGCTGCCGCTCTTCGTTCTGGGTGCAAATCGACTCAAACTCGCCACCAGTCCTTGCCCGTTCCTCGTAAACGCGATCCTATTGGCTGCGGGGTGGGCCCGTCGGCTGAGACGAGCGCTTCTCTTGCAGCTCCGGCGCGGGCGTGTGAGCGTGGGCGAGGAGGTGTGTGTGTGTGTGTGTGTGTGCGCGTGTGTGCGGGGAGAGTCCTCTCTGTTTAAAGACCTAACCCTGGGTTGGATGCGTTTCTTAAAATCTATAGAACTGTAGCGATTTAATTGCCTAATTAGCTTAACGCTTCCATCCAAACGTTCAGAAAGTCGAAACGCGGATATTATTTATAGTGGCCGCTTGATGAGAATCTCAGAAAATAAGCCTTTAGGTTAGAAGACTCTGCAGTTTTCTTGGCAATGTTTTTGGAAGTAGCTTTGCCAGTATCTTTGTCCTAAGGCTGAATGTGAGTGGCCCAAAGTCGGTTTTGTGCCCACAGTCTTCCAGTTCCTAGTCCACTGCCTTTAATCACTGCATAGAGCTGCTCCCCTGATACATTGGCATTGTGTAATTTGTGTTTTTATACATGGCGTAAATATTAGAAGAAATTCAGGATTTTAATTAAAATGGATGTATGTTTTTCAGTTGTCACCCATCTTTGCCCTCCTTCTCCCTCCCCCTCCTTCTCTCTTGCTTTCATAATCTCTTTCTTAAACTCAACACCGGTCAACTGGGACAAAATGACATCATCCTGTTGCAATTACTTACTCCTTTTCCCCTTGTAAATTACCCAATGAAATAATTGCAATATTGTTTGGCGGATTAAGTAATTGTAATACCTTCATTGCCTGGTGGTAAAACTTTTAAGTAAAGTAAACTTGAAGTATCTTCAAACTTATATTTGTGTTTTTTCCCTTTTTTTCCACTGAGGTAGAATTTTTTTGTTCAAGCCTCAGTATAGAAAATCAGATGGCAGATGGTTTGGTTGGTTTTCAAAAACAGGAAATTCAAAAATTAGCTGTCTCTTGTGTTTTATTTTTTAAAAAACTCTCATGTCCCCAGATGATTGTAAGAATACACGTTTTAACAGTGTTACTTCCTGTTGCAGAGATTTTTCTTTGCAATTCCAGTCGGTATACTTTCTTTGACAAAGCTATCTGAGCTTTCTATTTGTGAGAGGAAAGTATACTTAGATTTCACACCTGCAAGTATATTTCAGTGACTACCTAAATTAAACCTAAATTCATTGGATTCCTAACTGTAATAGTCATCCTAAACAAGGGAAGCAGACATGATCACAATTATTCTGGGCTACTACATCACTAGTCCAAACAATATGGGCACACTGCTTGATGAATAGAATCCCAGTTCTTTTTCTTAGATTTTTATTCTGCCTTTTATTCTGTTTTTTTTTGTCAATGCAGACTCACAATCTCCTGGTTTCTAGACCAGTAATTTCTTTATATTTTTAAGTAATTTCTTTATAATTTTATAATATAATTTCTTTATAAATTTAACTCTGTTCTAATTCCCACTTGTTACAGCCAACACATTTTTCTGTAAGAATTTTTAGTTTTTCTATAAAGGGAAATTCAGATCTAGTAAAGGTAAATAAAAAGGTAAACATTTCCATTGTCTAGTTGTGTCTGACTCTAGGGAGGCAGTGCTCATTGCCATTTCCTAGCCAAGCCAATATTGTCGGAATATGCTTCCATGGTCATGTGGCATGACTACATGCCAAAGACACATGGAGTGTTGTTACCTTCCCATCAAAGTGGTACCTATCTATTTGCATTTGCATGCTTTTGAATTACTAGGTTGGCAGGTCTACCCAGAAGTAAATTAATCATACTAGTTTATCTACAAGCAATGTTCAGTTCCTGTCCACCATTACCCTGACGTCACCTGATTTATTTTTTGTTTTCAATAGAGTCAATATTCTGTCTCTATGATAAATATTCAACATAACATGAAAATGGCTTTTGGTTTGACATGTTGGAAGTGCACTAGACAAAAATACAGAATGCAATATCAGCTCAGAATGATCAAGAAACATTGCCTTTCTTCTTTTACAGATCAGACTCTACTTTTAAAATTTTCAGAAGGGACGAATAAACATGAATGTTTTTACTCACATCAACACAAAGAATATCTTTTCTGCAACAAATATGTCTGGTCTTATATCTGACAAGTTTGAGGATCAGCTGAATTTAAGCAGTAATTCTCCTTCCATGTCAATAAGTAAGCTTTTTCCAGCTTTGTTACAATGCTTTGGCATTATCCTTTGTGGATATATAGCTGGAAGAGTTAATATAATCACATCAACTCAGGCCAAAGGATTAGGAAATTTTGTCTCCCGCTTTGCACTCCCAGCTTTGCTCTTCAAAAATATGGTCTTGCTGAATTTTTCCAATGTGAATTGGTCCTTTCTGTACAGCATCCTGATCGCCAAAGCATCTGTATTCTTCTTAGTCTGTGCATTGACATTGTTGATAGTCACTCCTGAAAAACGATTTAGCAAAGCTGGACTCTTTCCTATTTTTGCTACTCAGAGCAACGACTTTGCACTGGGATATCCTATAGGTAAGAATCATTTTATGTAATTATCTTGTGTTTTTTCCATAGTGCTTTAGAATTGGCATGCATAACATCCATTTCCAAAACACATATTTGGGGCAGGCTGTGGGTTTGTGTATATGCAGTTTTGATACAAGACATAAATTAATCACTTTATCAACAATGTATAACTTTCTGCCTAGATAAGAGCTTATTTGAAACCAGTCATTTTTTTTTGTTCCTGTAGTGCAGTGTTTTAATTTTTGAGAAGAAAATATACATTTGCTCTCCAAAAGGAAAAATATATTGGCCTGATATTGCAAAGATGGGTTTTTTAAAAGGTACAGTAAGTATCTTTTTAGTCTGTGAAAGCCTCAAGACAAACATTTCATTTATTAAACTGCGCCCAAACTCCAAAATCTCATTGTAAGAAGTTGTAGATATTGTACTGTATTTGGTGTGGAATCAGTCATTATGACTTGTAAGCCATAGTCTTGTGACTCAGCATGTCTGGTGAAGCTAAACATTATGCTTTATTTAATGAACCATTATTGGATAAACAACAGATTAACGTGATATATAAATTTACTCTCTGTGCACAGGTGCAATAGTTTCATCATTTGTAGGGAGTGGCACATAAGGCATTAAATTTGGATCTCCAGGTTCACCTTTTTTTATATTGCCTGTTCTTGAAGCTATACACTGATTCACAGAGCCTGTATTTATATACAGTTAGCTAATATTGCTTTATGCTGATGTCATTTATAAGAAAATAATAGTTTGAATCCTTAGCTGCGAAAGAAAGCTTGGAATCTTGGGTGTAATACAGAAGCAAATATTGGTAAACCCAATTCAGGTGGTTTATGGTCCCTATCATTAAAAGGTACTTAACAGAATGGAATATAGCTCTGTCCTTTAAGCACCATTAAACCCTAAGTAGTATATACAGTATATGTGTCATTCTAAATATGCTGACTAAAGAAACTGTAAGCAGAATGAAGTTTGGGGATATTTTTATCATGTAAGATGCAATTATTTAATAGTGTGATAAAACAGGAAATTTGATATAATTGGTTTTTCTAGAGAATGGAAATATTTGTCCTCTTTTCCATAATCCCCTTATGTCAAAGTTCCCATAGAAGTTGTTAAACATATCTTTGAAAATGCAGGCAGGCCATTCACTGTAAGTTATGACATCTATTTTGATTTAGTTCAGCTTAAAATAGAACTACAATTTATCTATGCAGCAAAAATCTTGGTAGTCACTGGGGGGGTGGTAATAAGGAAATATAGAAAACTAGTAACTTGCTACTAAGTCTTGGTCTGGATTTTAATAGACTGAATGTAGTAGCCCTACTTAAAGTAGACCTGTTGAAGTCAGTTGGATGTGTTAGTTTTGCAGGCTAGATACTATACAAAATGATATGTAAAGCTCCTGTAATGTTTGTTCTATGCATTTTTTCTGTATGCAGATTATGTGATATCTTTTCTTTGTGATTGTAAATTGTCAGCAAATCAGTGGTATAATATAGTGATAGCCAAAAAGCTTTGCTATTTAAAAGTTAGTTTTCAGGAACAGTTGTAACATGCTACTTTTGATTTTTATAGCCCTATCTACACAATATTTTAGAAAATTCTTTCTCTCAAATAAAACCTGACAAGTTAAGATCATTGGATGAAGCCATGTACTATGCAATTTTTAGATGAATATATACAAGCCATATAGTAGCCCAGTGATGGCGAACGTTTTAGAGACTGAGTGCCCAAACTGCAACCCAAAACCCACTTATGCATCGTCGAGTGCCGGGTGGGCGTGGCCCATTGGCTGGGCGTGGCCCATTGGCTGGGCGTGGCCCATTGGCTGGGTGTGGCCCATTGGCTGGGCGTGGCCCATTGGCTGGGCATGGCTACGGTGGTAACGACAGACTGGGTGGGACTAAAAGTTCAATCAGTTCCAACTTTGCAACATATTTTTTTTCCCGTGAGAAGTTGAAATTGACTGAACCTTTTTATTTTTTTGCACACGGTGGTGGAGGCCTAAAGCGAAAAGGTTTTATAAAACCCAGCTGAAGGCCTAGGACTGCCCACAGAGAGGGGTCTGAGTGCCGCCTCTGGCACCCGTGCCATAGGTTCGCCACCACTGTAGTAGCCTATTGTGCTACTATAATTGTATTTGTTTAGGAAGGATTATTGTGAGAAAGTTTGGGAACCTCCGAGACCGCCTTCTGCCACAGACTCCCTCCCACAGACCGGTACGCTCCCACAGAGCGGGCCTCCTCAGGGTGCCGTCGGCCAAGCAATGTCGGCTGGCGACCCCCAGGGGGAGGGCCTTCTCTGTGGGTGCCCCCACCCTCTGGAACGAGCTACCCCCCGAGATCCGGACGATTCCGGATCTCCTAACCTTCC